CTCATCTCTAGGCTGGGCAAGCCTTGTTCCCTCAGCCTCTTCCCACACAGCAAGTGCATCAGCCCCCTGACCTTCTTTGGGGTCTTCTGTTGAATTCACTGCAGTTAATTGATATATTTCCTGTACTGGGGGTCCAAAACTGGATGTAATATTTTATGTGGTCTAAAAAGTGCTGAACAGAGGGGCATAGTTACTCCCCTGATCTACTGATGATGCTCCTGTTAATACAGCCCAGGATGCTGCCTGCTGCCTTTGCTGCCAGGGCACGCTGCTGGTTCACGTTCAGCTCATTGTCTACCAACACCCCCAGGTCCTTTTTAGCAGAGCTGCTCCCCAGCCTGGCAGTCCCCAGCTTGTATCATTGCGAGGCGTTATTCCTTCCTTTCCTCAGGACTTTGCATCTGTCTGTTGGATTTGGTAAGGTTTCTGCTGGCCCATTTTTCCAGCCTGCCTAGATCCCTTTGAATGGCAGCCCTGCCCTCCAGGGTATGGACTGGCCCCCCAGTTTTGTGTCTTCTGCCAGCTTGATGAGCAGGCATGCTACCACTTTCTCTAGGTCATTGATGAATACATGAAATGGGACAGGTCCCAAGACAGACCGCCAAAATACTCCACTTGTTGCTGGCCTCCAGGTAGAGTACAATCCATTAACTGCTCCCTCTGAACCCAACAATCCAGCCAATTTTTTAACCATTGGCTTGTTCACCCATCCAGACCATGATGTCCCAGCTGGGTTATGAGAATGTTGTGGGGATACCATGTTAAAATCTTTGCTAGATTTGAGGTAGAACACATCCACTGCTCCACAAGTCCAGTCATTTTGTCATAGCAGGCAGTTGGTTTGGTCAGGCATGATTTGCCCCTGGTAAATCCATGCAGACTCCTGCCAATCACCTTTTCCTTATGTGCCCAGAAATGTCTTACCAGAGGATTTGCTCCATATTTTTGGTTCCAGTCCCCCAGGAAACAAAGTGAGGTTGATTGGCCTGTAATTCCCCGAATCATCATTTTGGCCTTTTTTAAAGGTAGGTGGAGCATTTGTCTTTCTTCAGTTATTTGGGATTCCCCGTTCTCCATGACTTTTCAAAGATGACAGAGTGCGGCAGGGACGTCAGAGATTTTTTAAAATCTGGTCGATATATTGAATGAATCATTTTAGTTTATGGGAAGAGAAACTGATTTGTGGAGTTAAAAGTCTGAAGTCTGCTTTCCCCTCTTGGCTATGTGAACTGGTTTCATTGAAAGAACTGCCATTAACCCCGTATACTTGGTGAAGAACTGATTGATAATGAAGAACCTCTCCACTTCCATGTCCCCAGTGATCCTCCATGGATTAACAGGGAATTGCCAGAGGCAGACAGCTGGGGCACAGGCTGGAGGGGAGATGTCTGGAGAGTTTTATGAGTTATTTCTTATCTTTAGCAGGAAGACTGTACATGCAGGTGAAAGAGGCTTGCTTAAGCTCAATAGATGATATTTGTCTTCAGTAACGTTGCTTGCATTTCATACTAAAAGACTGGACTCATTTTGGCTGGTTGTTCTACTGGAGAAATGTCAGCAAACAGATTTTTATTATAAATGCATTTATTTATTCATTGAAATTATTTGACTTGGTTTGCAAACATCACTAATCTAGCCTGGCTTTTGAACTGTAAACATTTAACTCAATTACCTGACTTTAAATTTGCCATATAACTCAAACGGCTCATTGCGAATGGCTTCTGCTTGCTTTTTGACTTTCCTGCATTGCCCTTGCTTTTGCTTACAGCAGCACCATCACGCCTCGCCCACAGAGCCCAGTCCACACAAGGCTGCCTCCCCCTCTCACCTAGCCATCCCTGGCGAGGGCTGCTGCCCCCAGTATTTGGTGCAACACCGCAGCCTCTGCCCCCTCCCGAGACTGGGCGCGCAGGCAGCTTCGTGAGGCTGCGGAGGGGAGAGACGCGGGCCCTGCGCTGTGGGCAGGTTGTGCTCTCGCTGGAGCTCCGTGCTGCCCCACTGCAGCCGAGGGTACCATGGCATGGCATGGCCCAGTGCTCTAGGGGTGATCCTGCACACGCTTGCCTTGCCTTTCAGAGCAAAAAGGAGTGGAAAGGGGGACCGCAGTTTGATTCATTTGTGTGCCTTTTGTTAGTTAGAGTCACGTATCGATTGCTGTCTTTAAATAAGTCTTACCTAAGTCTGTGCTATAGGCTGGGGCTCTGATGTTAGTAGCCTGTGGTTGCAGCTCAGATATGCCACCGCAATAATTTAAATAGATTTAAAGTGGCTGGACGCAGGAGATGAGCCTGCCATTTTTCACTTTTGGGTATCTGAACCCAAATCCCAGTGAGACTGAATATATTTCACTAAGCAGCTACTGCTTTAAAAGGTAGTCCCATATATCATTACCTGATCAACTATATTACAGCTTTGCTTCAGAGATGCAGATTGGTTTGCTTACACTAGTAAATAGGAAGAGCACATTTGTTTTCATGATAGCACACAGACCTTCTGCTAATCTTGTTTAAAATACAAATTTTTATGTTCTGTCTGGGTAGAGTCAAATTGGCACTTCACGTAGGTAAGCGTTTAAGGCCTGCAGGATCTGACGTATGGATGTGAGCAACACTTAATTATAAACATTACTGAAGACAAGGCATAATTATCATTGTCACTGACTTTCAGTTCAGCTTAATAAAAACTCATCATCTCATGCATGTACCCAATGTGTGTGCATTAAGCTATGCTGAGCTCTAGCTAACTTTGTGGTTTTTAATTCCCTCTGTTGTCTGCCAGCTCTTTTCTGTAGTGGGAGAACAACAGTGGGTTAACAACAGAAAAGATTAACAAAAGAAAATCTTCCGTTACTTTGTATGTTCTGCCATGATTGCAATGAAATGCTCTCTTTTTTTCCCTCCCCACTCCCTACAGGACAATTTGCAAAAAGGAAGAAGACTTCGCTTTGGTTCACAGTCTCTCTGCTGGTAGTGTCTGTTTTCATACTGACCATAGGTCTGGCAGCGACCACAAGAACAGAAAATGTTACCGTGGGAGGCTACTACCCAGGCATCGTTGTGAGTAAAGAAACCTATTTTAGATTATTGGGTACAACCAGATAAATTATTATCAGCTGGATATGGGAAGCTCTGATTGATTAAAAAAAAAAAAGAAAAAAGTTCAGTCCTCTTGCATTTCACAGGAGAGAGATACTCCTTTGTTTTGATCTAGTTCTAGTGTATGATAAGGTAGGGGGGTAAACTCTGTTTTTCTGAGGTGCCCCAAAGGGGAGGCTGTTAGGGGGCAGAAGGGGGTGCAGGTTGCACTGCGCAGCAGTATGCTGGGCTCAGGGGCCTGTGTGAGAACCTCTGCTTGACTTCCCACTGATCTCTTAAATGTGGTCATATAAGTGACTGGACAGTAGGCATGGGTTAGATTTAAATGACCTTTTAGAGGTTTACTGTGTTGATAGCAGAAAGAGCCACTCTGCTCTTGCGTCCATGTGCCAGGAATTCTGCTGTGTCCATCACAGGGAAAGCCCTGTAGATGGGCATATGGAAGCTTCTCCCTGGAGCCTGCCTAACATGTTCTTGTGCAGTCTTGCTGTCCTCTTGTACAAGATGCCCTTCTGAAATCCTTAGTCTTGTTTTTGTCTTGGGAACAGACCACTTAAACACGTTCCTGTACTGGGCACAAGGTTCAAGTTGTATCTCCTTCGCCCTGTGGTGCCTCTGTGACTTCTGGGGAGGGGCAGCCCTGCCAGGTCCTTGCCGGTTCAACCTCCATGGCCCTTTCTGATCTCAGAAGAACAGATCAGTCATATCCAAAAGGGTGGAAACCCCTGGAGTCAAAAAGTTTTTTGAGATGCCTGGGCTGAGTTTTAAAAAAGAGGAGTACGGACAGCAAATAGAGGAAGGCCCATCTGCCTTGTTTGGTCTCTCCAAGCCAGCCAAGAGGAGGCAGAGGGTGCAAGGTGAAGAAAGAAACTCATGTACTTCGAGTTAGGCACCTGCTTAGGTATGTGGCAAAATGTGTTGTAAGGTATCATTATTTCTTGTTCTCTATGGAGTGAAATGCCCAGGAGGAGGGATATGTATCTTTTAATACTGTGCATACATTTTGCATTGCCATTAATAATTTGTGAGTTAGAACTGTTCCTCCTAAGCAAGTCCTCTTACATCTTAGTGTCATGCTGAGAACAGGTCTTTCAGAAAGATAATTTTGGGATAATGATCTATAAGGAGTGGTGTTTTAAAAATAGCACAAAAAAGTGGTTCCAAGAATAAAACCTTAAAAGAATTAATTTTCCTTTCATTAAGCTAAAATAGATAGATTAATACTGATAAAGTACTGATAATTCTTTTTCTGTAATTTGAATTAAAATATTTTAGAAGACCATATTAGCTGCATTCATTCCCTTGAAAGAATTTTCATTTTTAAACTGTTGTCTTTAATAAGTGTAATAAGTAATAAACCCATGTGCACAAACCAGTTTATTTCAGCATTTAGTTTCTTTTAGAAATAACACAATGCCTATTCACTCAGCTGAAAAAAATATAATCACTAAAATATTTTTTTTTCAAATCTCGGTGTCATTAATAACCAGATAGAATAGCTAGAATCTATCAGAACACTTTGAAAACAAAACTTTTTATTAATAATTTTCCTCCTCAAAAGATTGCTGGAGCTAAATAATTTTCATAAGATTCAGAATTCCTTTTGTTCACATGTGATGGATTATTGAAATAACTGAGAAAGAGTGATGGGTAACTGTCAGTGTAAACTTCATTAATACACTAAATATCCCAAACATTTAGCAAGAGTTAAAGGTGCTATGCAAACCTTGCATGATATCTTGCCAAAAGCCTGGTCAGAGGTGTATGACAGCATGTCATATATGCTGTGTTCCTGCCTCGTTGCCAGAGGTTACTGACTCCAGTGCAACATTGACAGATGGACTACGGGGTAGCCTCTCCTCCACCTCTGTGCAAAGTCAGCCACCTCTTTCAGAATAGATTCATAGAATTGTTTAGGTTGGAAAAGACCTTTAAGATCATCAAGTCCAACAGTTAACCTAGCACTGCCAAGTCCACCACTAAATCATATCCCTAAGTACCACATCTACACGTCTTTTAAATACCTCCAGGGAATGAGCTGACTAACCCTCAAAAGGTGCTTCTCTTCTCCGCTGACAGTAGAGGGAGCTTAGAAAACCAACATAGCACTGATCCCAAACTTTTACATACCTAAAGCTAGGGGAGTAAATTCAACACTGCATATTTAACTGTTGGGCTCAAAGAAAAGAAAGATTATGAGGACAGACAGTGTTAATTACAGTTAAAAATAAGGTCTAGTGCTCATATAATTCAGTAGCAAAATATTAACTTGAGAGCTGGTAGGTGAGATCTAAATCTCCACTGACCTTAGGTAAGGGATTTTGGTCATAAAAACCATTTAGAACTAGTCTCTATCTTGCAAACACCTGCAAATGTGAATAAGACCATCCACTTGCATAGATTTACTTGCATCTAGAAGCATTTGCAGAGCAGGGCTTTAGGACTAGATCCATAATATAATTTGGGCTTCTACTTAATTTCTGTTGGCTTCAAGAAGAGATAGGTGCCTTAATTACTCTGCATATTTTGTGACTTGTAATTTGTTTTGGAAAAAGGTTTGTTGTAAATACGTCTTTATAGTGGTAGGTATTATATGTGTTTATGCATCCAAAGTAATTTAACATAAAATGTTTCTGTGTGTAGATGAGTTAGTATAGTGTTCCACTTTGGAAGGTGCCTGCATTTAAGTAGATTACTGCTTGATCGTCAGTTTAGGTTTAGGGCTGTCTTTGTGGAATGGGCTGCAAAGCCAGAGTTGGAATTTCTTCAACCTCACTTCCTTATAAATATTGCATATACTTAGATATTTAAAGTAGCTTCTCTATGACTGCTGCTTATGTTATTTTCATTTGCTATTTTTATAATCTTTCAAGTCTACAGGGTACAATTGTCCCAGTCACCATACTGACCTGGACTCTCAGAGTTCCCAACCCAAATAGCCTGTTGTCTAAACAGACAAAAAAAGCAGTGCCTGTGACCCTAAACCAATCTCAGCAATGCTGTGGCTTAAATCATGATCTCTATCTATGGTTCTTCATCTGATTTAATTGCTATTGTTCCATATTTGCTCATTTTTCCTTCATATGGGTAATATTACTCTCCTCTGTGTCCCCTGCATCAGCCGTAAATGGGGCTTTCTGGATTGTTCCTGTTGGGATGAAAAATGGGGCTTGAAACCAGGTGTCATTTTTATGTAGTTATCTTAATTTACAAAGTTGCTGTCCCCTGAATGGAGTGTCCTTGCTCACAGTTCCAAGTCTCTCTCCTATTCAGCTGTCAGCATGGATGCATTTGCGCACACTTTCTTTTTCAAAGTCTCTGCTTTTAGTCCTTGTGCCTTCCTTTCACATAAATCTTCCCAAAGCACTCAAGAGCAAATCTCCTTTCCCTA